GTCGCTCACAGTACTAGCTTGTCGAAGCGAAACGCAAAACACAAGACGCCGCAAATGCGGCTGTGGGCGTTAAATGCAAATTGCGACGTTTCACCGCAGGACAATGAGAGTGTTGCTCCCCTTGTAAACACCGAGGCTCGGTTTGTTGTTCTACTTTTTTGGGTAAACGGTCCTCCTTAAACGGTGGTGCATAGGCCGCCGCAGAAATACCTCCGGGCGCACAATGGCTCGTTTGCCACCGCCCTAAATGGCCACCATTGGCGTAAACAAACCGATTCTCACTTGTACAATTACCTACACCCATTTCGGTCAAAACTCAGTTTTGGTATTATGCAAACAGGCGTCTGAGTAGGTGGAAACAATTTTATGTACCATCTTCTATATCGAGGTGTTTACGTCACACTTTCGCAATCGCAGCGTGCATATGGGATGCATCGAGATGGTCGGAACCATATTTAATGGAAATGGAAATTGAATCAGAGCCAAAGTTGTTCTCGCGACGGTTATGTCGAGGTGCGCGGACGCTGCACCGCGGCTTGGATCGGCACGGCATGCCGTCGACAACAATAAGACCGCGCCTTGCTATAAACATTCTTTGCAACAATCATTTCGAATATAACCTATAAATTAGCACGGCCGACGGCGAACAAGCGAGAATTCGCAATGAGGGCTGGGCAACGTCGGTGCCAGCCTCAATGGAATAACTGCACGCCGCTGCCGCAATGTCGTTCACGACACGTCTCTCATAACCTTTGCCAATTAGACTTTGAATTATACAACATGAGTAAATAGTATGAGTAAATATTATACATAGCTGCAGTCATGCGATATGTTATTCTGCGAGTGCCTACTTAATACCGATAAAAAGTTGAGCTTGAAACAAAGTGAGCATATTCTTTAAGAACTATATACAACTAATAGGTGACAAGTTGTATTTTAATGCTTTAATTTTTTAAATATTATTTAGTATTTATTGTATCGATGTAGAGATGAGTTATTCTCGCATCATGCGGCAATTTTTTTGTATAAAATTATTTTATTATTTTCTTTGCATTATAACAGTTATATCCGATAAGAATATTGTATACGTATTAAAACAATATATGATATCTGTTATCTACCAGTTTGTGTGACTTGCATGTAGGTTAACGGTTAATTGGGTCAAGCTCTTGAGGCAAAGATTGTATTCTATTGATTGCGAGAGATAACATTATAAATATTTTCATCATTTGCACGTTTCAGTATTTTATTACGATATATTGGCATAGTTTCTTAGCTAGCCTTTATAGAGGTGACAATGTCCTGTTAAGATGTCACAAACTGTTAAATACCCGTACATATTCTGGGGTTAAATAGGCAATACTATGTTTACTGTCTAAGCACATTAATATCTATATATTAATATAATATAAAAATAATCTGATACTGTGTATATATGATACTATAAGATAGAAATAAAAGAATTTTATGATTCGTGATCGTACAACAATATAAGCATAATTCAGTTGCTCATCACGTAAAATTAAATCAATATTAAGATAATTAATATAGATCAGAACTTTCACTATTACTCAATATGATTTTTGAAATTTTGAAAGGCTATACAATAAAGTATATTAAATGAGTTGAAAATAGGAAAATAATTGAAGATAGTAGGTAGACGGCTTAGTTAGAACTTTCTTTATAATAAATATGATGTGACGATACGATGAAGAGTAGTATTAATAGTTCATTATTTGTTACCAGGAATTGTAAATTTTATATTAGGGTGTCGTAAACTTGTAAATTATCAATGAATCCAGGAACTTCACAACTTCTCCGAGTTTATTTCAAAGTGTAAAAGTAGATTTCACTTTGAGATTTTTATTATTACTTATACAATAATATTAAAATTATAAAATATTCTTTGACTTATTTATCGTGACAGTGACTTTGTTTATCATTATGTATATTTTTAAAGCATACGCACGACTGTCGAAGGCGTGATATTTGATTGGAAACTCATATATAGATCATCTGAGTATTTTATAGTCTGTGGCGAGATCCTTTCTGTCACAGAATAAGTGAAAAGGTTTCAGCGAACGCGTCGCTCGCACCACCCGGCGTTACGTCATTAGTTGTCACAAAACATAATTATGCTACGTTTACTGAAATTCATGATTTTTTTCCCAACATTTGTCGAGGTTATTGTTGTGTTCGAGGTTTCTAAATAATGCAATATTTATGAAATTTTGTAGTTTGCTTTTAAATAAATATTTCTAGATGAACGTTGTTTATTATATTTGTAAATTGTGCATTCGTATTTTTATGTTTGTTTAATAAAAAAATGCTTAAAAAAGTTTGATAGACTGTTGATTCGAATGGCAATTTAAATGGATTAGAGTTTGGCTGAATCTTTTTTGAACTGCCTTATTTCAACATCCATATTTTAAGGAAATGGTGTATTACGTCTTCTTCTTACAACTATGCCTACTTTGTTCAGAAACGAAATTTCGAAAAATTGCAAAACGTTTTATTTTTGTTAATTGCTGAATTTGAAGATTATCTGTGCATCAAAATAAAAAATAAATGTTTTTGAAGTCATCCCTAGTTGGTACGTTTCGGAAATAAACGAAATTTCGTTTTCGGAGAGACAGAATAGGCTTGCAGCTTCCTTAATGTGTGTTCCGAGCAGTGTGCTCTTTTTCCATTTTTTTTTAATCAGCCACCATCTCATCGTTCAGTTCCATTACTTTCATATCATTTCTCAAACAGTTTATTCATTTTTTCTGCGGATTCTTTTTGCTCCCCATTTGTCGACTTTTCATATGTATCTTTGCTATCAATACTTTTATAGTTAGGTATATTTGTGATGTATCTTTAACTGTGTTTCTCCTTGATGTTAAAGCGTCGTCTACATGGCGCCTGGTTACATCATCCTCGGAAAAGTTGTCACATCACAGCGAAAACTACTCGCGACATGATTAGGAATGATGTACAGATCAGTCTTGTCACGTCGCGACGCCCTCGAGGTCGGTTTCAAATGTTCTTGCTAAATGACAATAATGAGTGGGCGCCGGTCGAGTGCGCATACATATTCACCGCTTTATGTAAAAACTAACCTATGTCAACATAAAACTTAATGAGTTAAATGCAAAGTTTAGAAATACTAGTTATTGTTTAAGATGGCTTGTACACAAAATATATTTGGATTGCTTTTCTCCAAAGAATTAACGTATAAATACACTGTAATTCAAAATGATAAATAAAACCAACTTTAAAAGCATAATATAAGTAAAAGAAATATCCAAGAAACTTCTAATTAAGTTAGGCAGTTAATAATTAATAACCTTCACATAAAGACGGTTCAAAACCAGTACAATGGTTTGTTAAGTGTAATTTTAAAATAAGAGTCAGACAATGTCTGATTTTGTTTGCAATGGCTTCAAGTGGTACACTTATATGCAGTATCTGTTTTTAAGGCTGGGCGTAAAGACAAAATACTGACTCTGTTTATTTCATTGTGCCCAGCAAGGAGTAAGAGAAAAAAAAATACAGAATTTTGCGAATCGCACGTTAAAACTAATTAATTGCAAACCATTACGATTACTATAAAAGTGTCGCACATAGCATTCGGCTACAAAATGATTCACGTATTTATTAATTCTTCATATAATTAATGTTGTGAAAGAAAAATTTATCTTACGGCTAACTTTGTGTTTTTTTTTTATAAATTCCCCTTTGAATGCGACTAACCGTTTAAACTTGATGTAATTTCTTATTTTTATTATATCTTATTTGGACGTTATTTCTCGGTACAAAACTAATTGAAAGATGTACACGCCCATTTAAGTTGTATTCGTTTTCTCTTTACCCGTGTACCCTCATACCGCATCGTTTGCTCATCCCAACCTTCTCTTTGTTGTTATTTTAAGTTTCCTAGACCAAATCATCGCCACATTGGCGCCATTTGCCAATAAATTTAGGGCTGTCTCGAATTATTAAATGAATTTATAGAGTGAGTTATAGACTTTGGCGCTCGGTCTCGCGAACACAATTTCCTTTTGGTTATATCAGAAATCGTAAACTGGTCTCATCTCTAGGTACTTGGTTATAAAAAAGCAATTCTTTATTTTTTTTTTGCGAACGGTACAATTATTGAGGTAAAGATTTTTATGCAAAATTGCTTAGTTGAGCATTATCATTTACTATATTCAACGTTCAATTCAACTGTTTACGGTTGTTTTCTATTGAAATTTGAATAAGAATGCCATTAGGTAGTACTTAACTTAATCATGTTATATGCAAATTCCATTGAGCTCCGTGCGTTTATGATAAACATTATGGTTTATTGACGGAAATTGAATTAAACTAGAACGTGTAGATTAGAGTTTATGAGCATATAAAGTGTACATCCACAAATTGGATACAATCAAACTGTCTTGCGAAATGTCACTGCTCTCTCTATTTTGGTACATAGCAGACCAAACAAGAAAGCTATGCAATGCGCAAATTCTACTGTCGCCGTCTAGACGCAGCTGGTTAGGTTACGATTGAATAATATTTGATCCAATCAAACCGAATACGAGGGTCGGAGGGGTCTTGAGAATCGATCGGCCGGTATGGTCAACGCCGTGCATGAACCATCATACGTTTGTTCAAAAATGAACTTTCTATGAGTTGAAATACAGTTGGATCGTTGTATCGATTTCTCTTTGTATATCAATTTACTGAATATGGAGCTACAGTCTAGAGGCATTATCCAATGGTTACAATAAGCTTTTAGTTATTGTATACGTTAGCATTTTCATGCATTGCGTATATTAAACAATTTATTGTCTAACTAATTCTCGTCTAAGGCCAATTTAAATTATTAAACTTACTATCATGTCTTTTTGATATTCATTCATTGGTTATATATAATATATTTTATTTAATATTTTAATAATATATTTACTCCTTAAACGAAGCAGCGCATAGTAAAGACAAAACTATACATATTACCTTTATTTTTGTTTCAGCACCCGATATAATTCAAGAGGACAGCCCAAGTGTAATAATCGCTACAGACGAAGAGGAACTAAGCATGAAACGTAAGAGTAATCATAAACAAATTACATTAAAAGGTGACATTGAAAACATACCTACGTCATAATTTTTTCAAACCATAGATTTTGGTGCTCTTCTTACTGGACGATCCTCTTTGTGCATCAGACGAGATGATATGACTGGTGTACCAGTAGCTGCTGGTGTAGCCACTGCCAGATTCAACTTTCGCCGCCGCCATCTCTACTGGTCCGTAATCTTAGGACCATCGATGAGTGTACAACCAAGGGCGTTATTATTTTTAGACAGAGGAGGAAGACTTCTCCTAGAACATCCACTGAAAAAAGCTCCTGGTATACACGCTACTTACGAAGATAAAACCGATAAAGTTAGTATAATATATTAGCTTTAACATACTTAAATAACCTCTAGAATTGAATGGATTTCTGTTTCATATCGTGACTTGTTGTAGCAGTATCCTTTAATGGGCAAGGCTCTGCTATTATAAGTTTTGGTATGATTAATATGTAGTCCACACCAAGTGGTTACTCAATGATATCTAGACCATTTGCGAAAGTACTATTTAATTGCTATCTCAGAATGGAAAATCAAGGAACATTTTTTTTCAGTTATGCGGTGTCTGGCGCCGCGTGCCACGAGAATATAAACGCTTGTTAAGAGAAGGATCTTTGTATGTTGCTTTAGTGTGGGGAGACGAAAATAATAACACTATGGATAGCGCTTTAAGCGGCCGCATAAATAGGTGGGTACGATATGCTTCATCGGCTCTATGTCAATTTATAGCGGAAATGTTCGGTTACGTACCTATTCATGTAGTTTAATTCACTGTTAAATAAAATGATCTTTATTAGATTGTCCTTGAATGCTATGGTAAGATGTGAACGTAAAAGAAGCATTGTTCGGTTCAGATTGCAAATTAAATTGACCGTGCGATTACTAACGGAAAGTACCTAAGCTTCCATGATAATCAGTGGAGGAAAATGCCGATTCGTCTGTACATCATCATGACTCATTCGCGTTACCATAATTATTTGAGTGAATTAATAAAAGTATGTGTTAGCGGCTTAGATCTATGAAAAATTCAAAGTATCGTATAGGTTCTTGGAATAATTTATACTTGATGTTTATGTGTACATATACCGAATACAGTTTCTTGTAATTAATTGTTAATGTATGATGAATTACTTAGGATTTCACATTTTTATATCTTTAAGGTAAAATTTGTATTTGTAATGATTTTCTAGATATCCCGCATTATCATCAGAAATGTTTACGTCACTTCTTGAGCCTGAACATCCTCCAGCCGTTATAGGGAGCGGACCTTGCGACGATTATAGAGGCATCGGTCAAGATGAAGGTTGGTGGGGTGGTACAGCAGTGGTCACTGGAGTAGCTGGTGCTGCGCCAAGTCTTCACCTTGCGCTTTTATATAATGGAGTGTTTGGTTCGGCTCCTCATGACCAAGCTGTCAGAGTATTATTAACGTTACCGGATAAAAATCAAACTATTATTGATGATGTAAGTGAAACAATATGTGCATAATTTTAATAATATTTTTTTTATTACACAATCTTGCTTGTAAAACTGAGTGTAGTTGCCTACTGATTACTATTTATTTTTAGATTCAAACAGTTTCAAAACCCAGCTACGAAATTAACGTCTTAGAAGTTTCTACACCAGTATCATCTGCAGAATTGAGATCTTTGGCTAGAGGTCGATTGCTTCTTACAGTCGAATCGATAGTGAGTCCAGACCGGAAAATAACGGGTAGTGTCCGCCAAAGAGCCGCATGCGAAGTTTTCCATGCCTCCTTAATTGCAGAACGGCCCCCTGCATCTCCTGCTCCAGAGGGCCTTGCTTTAATTTATATTGACAAAGATGGCTCGCTTGTCTATGACATACAAGTAAGTAAGCAATATAGAATGGAACATTAGTAAAATCAATGAATATCTATCCTTAAAGCAATTTCAGTATAGTGATAATTAAGAATTTATTAAATTACACTCAGGTATTTTTTAAGGTATTTCTATGTATGTAATATATCCTTGATATTCGGAGACTGCAATATATTAAAAAGCCATTAGCAGAAGCAATAAGCATATTATTTAAAGCATTGGAACTAAATAATATTATGTTTGTAATAATAATTAGTTAAATAATTAGCACGATCATGATACTAATGGAAAAAAAGTTAAAGAAAGTATATATGGTTGATATAATGAGGTAGGATATTAAAAGTTTATTCACCTGTAGATAAACAGGTGTAAATGTAACGCTAATGTGGTTCTAATAGTTTCTAATAATTGGATTGCAGATAGACAATATGAGCATAAATGACCCAAAGATAACGTTGGTAGAAGAACAAGGGAAAAGGCATTCGCAAGTGGAAATATTAGACACCCGTATCGGAGTACTGGCGAGGCCTAGTGCTAGAATTTTCCCACCATTGTATGATGACCAACTTGCGGTTCATATTGGTGCTGATGTTGGTAAGATTTTTCAACTTCCTATTATTAGAGATGATTGTAAGAATATTTAGCGTCAAAGTCTAACGTATCTATCTTCTCATGGCATTATAGGTCCACCAATCCTTCGTGGGAGATTGGTGTCACGACCGCTGCCCGACGCTTCTAGTCCAGGTCCCGCTTTACTCCACCGTACTGACGCACGCCTTCCAGTCACTTCTACGCCCATATCTGGATTAGCATGGCTATCTGTGGATGCATTATGTGGTTTACATTATGAAGTAAGTACAATTGTAATCTGGGAATTGTACATCGATAGCTACCTCGTTATCACGCTAAGTTTGGTGTAGCCGTAACTATGAACAATAATTCTATTCAAAATATAAATATATTTGCTATCTGTTATTGTCTTTAGTCTAAATGGTTGCGATCCAACCCGTGTTATTAGTTTTTCAATTACATATTTAATTGCTTTCATCGGAATTAAAATAAATTAAGCAATATTGGCAATTGGAAATTTATTTAACTGTGTTTTTTTTTTAGGTTATAGTAACTGGTAATGTCGGCTCCTGGTCAGCTTGGCTAGAGACTCATGCAGGGGGAGGTGATGGAGCACGTGTGCTGGTAGGAGTGGAGGGCTGCGTGCTGGAACCGACCGCAGCAGAACTAGCTGCTTTGCATGCTGGTGCAGCATATTTTGACGTTAGGACTACAGATAACGATACTGCAGTACTGCGCACGCGACTACCTCAGGTACGTAATGATAAAACTTACAAAGACTGAAAAATAAGTAATGATATTTACTCCTCCCTATTAGGTGGTCCCCCACATTTAAAAGAAATATATTTTTTAGTAATCTCTTGATTTCCATATTATAACATACATAAATAAGTACGTCTGTCACCCTGGTCCATCCACCATATTAGATTAAAATGACTTAATGAGAAACTTGAGAAAATACCAAACATTTAGTACCCAATACAATTAGACTGTGATTACAATAATCACAGAAAATTTAGCTAAAAGACATTAACAAAAAGATTATTACTAGATATTTTTATATACAATTTTAATTGTTAATTACAATTTCTAATCTTCATCTTATGGAATCAAAGATTCTTATGCAGATTAAGAAATATGATATTGTCTTATTTATAACTTAAATTATTCTTTGTGCTATCTTTATGGAAACAGTGATGTGGTAAGTTTTGAAAATCTATTCAAAACATGAAATTTGCAATGAATAAAGTTACAAAATTAAAATACAGCAAACTTAACAAATATTCGACGAGTTTTAGACACGCAGTTATAAAAAACTTTGTAAACAAGCTTGGGTTGATCACTTTTTAAAATGTTTTATATTATTTTGGAAAAAAATATGAGTTTGGTTTTATAAGAAGTATTTTATAAGGCTATTTACGGCCTCGCTGCTAAAGCTTCGCCAAGAAAAATGCGCGTATGACAGAAGACAATATGCAATCGTGACTGATGGCTTTAACATACGAAGAAACTCGAGATAGTAAAATTTAACCAACTTCAAAAATCCAAAAGGAGGAGGTTATATGTTCGATGGCGATGTATGTTTTTTTATGTATGTTCACCGATATATCCACCAATTGTTAACCGATTTTTAAAATTCGATGTTATTGAACTTCTGCGATTGCTAATATAATTGCAGATAAGCGTGCCACCTTCATGCCTGCCCTCTACATCTTGGGTAGCTGGTAACGATCTGAGTCCTAACTACGCTCCATCACACGTGAATACATCACCTCCAGACAATTCACTGTCTAACAGCGCTTCCTGTTTTTATGCTGGACGGTTCTACGAAGATGGTGCTCAATGGATGGCAGTCGATGTATGTTTATAATTTTTACTTTGTTTTATTAATTATTTATTGTTTATATCAATGGGGCAATTTTTTTTAAATTATTTTAAATTAATAATTATGGGCACCTATTAAAAAAAATGAAAATAAACCTCATTATCTACCTCAAACTATGTTTTGGATTGAACTGTTTAAAAAACCGCGTAAACGGCGACTCGTATTACGTGACTTCATTTGTGGGGTGAATAAAAGGAATTACTGATCCTTGTAACCTGTTAAATTTCATGTAATTCATTAACATTGTTTTGCACTTCAAATGTTTCCCTCGCCTTTCTTAGATAGTTTTACTATCAATTTTAGCCACTACTAATGTTACGCGCTCTGATTGGAGTTTTATTTGACGTCAGACACATGTAGACACAGACTAAAAATATTGGAAACTTATATTTTTGTTTATTGAAATATAAATAATTGTTATTTATCATAAAACATGCGGCGTTAATTTTTAAACTTTATGATTTTTTTTTTTATTTTTATAATAGGTACGACAAAAAATTGAATATTTAATTAAGTTTTTTGAGCTGTCAACTCGGGTACGCTTGGCGCTCGCTCGTTTGCGAAATGTAAAAAGCCTAATAAAAGCAGAACCAGCCGTAAAACGTTTGTTCTGGCCGGACATACAATTAAAAAAGCCTACTTATGTCTGGCTTTATCCGGACACCTGGCAACTTATTCTCATTAGATTGTTGTAATACAAATAACATTTGCGTATCTATCTGGTTTCTTTACAGTCTTGTCACATGTGCGGTTGTGTGCACGGAGTGTTGCGGTGTGACCCTGTACGTTGTCCACCTGTGAACTGTTCCGTGCCTACTATTCAGCCACCGGGTCAATGCTGTCCCATTTGCACGAGTAAGTTGGAAAATTAGGGCGAGATTTTACGAATTTACCACTTTTATTCTAATTCTTTGGTAAAATTTGCCAAATAAAAATCATTTTATTAAAAAAAAAATATATAATAAAATAAAGGTTTTGTTTTATATTTTTTTCTGCTAAAAATGTATGAAATCAAGCGAGCTATCTTTCTGCGTATTTGTGCGTATTTGTATGGGAACATCAGCGGAAGCAAAAAAGGGCCTTAAGTTAAATAATTTCATAAAAACTGAAATTCAATGCCGCCTTTCAGATGTCGATATGTAGTGAAATATTATCAAGGATTTTCGTATATAAGGTAGCTTTAAATGGCGCTTTAATGCATTAAATGGAGCTTTAAACAGAGAAAACGTACAAAAGGTCATATTTTGTTATGTGATAGTAGTAATAATATAGCGATATAGAAGTATAAGCTTGGTGGCGTAGTGGATAAGCGCCGCGGCCCGCGATCGTTGTCGTTAAGCAACTTTCGCAAGGGTCGGTCACGGGATGGGTGACCAATAAATTATTATCTCCAGCTACTCCGTGCTTCGGAAGGCACGATAAGCCGTTGGTCCCGGCTGCATTTGCAGTCGTTAATATCCTCCAATAAAATAATTTCAGATTCCACAACAGCGGTTTGGAACGAATCACACGGTTGCCATCTCGCGGGCCAGTACCATGCTCCAGGTTCGTCGTGGCATCCGTATCTAGTTCCTGAAGGTTACGACACCTGCGCTGTCTGTACTTGCGAGTTCTCCACGAGACAAGTCAGGTGTCCTCGAGTTAGATGTCCCCCATTGAGATGTTCGGAGAGAGAAGCATATCGACCGGACAAGAAAGCTTGTTGCAGAATTTGTCCAGAGGTGATTCTATAAGTTATACTTTATTGGTTATGTCCAGAGGTAATTATATAACTTTATTGGTTATATTTGTAGGTGACATTAGGTCGCCTTTTAATTTAGTTTTTTTTATTTATTACGTAATAATGCATACCTTTGTCTTGCATTCATAAGTATTTAACTGTCTTACTCTTTGGTTGCCTAGACAACTTTTGGGAAATAAATAAGAAAGGAAGTTCGGAAGATTTTAAAATAAATAAACAATTTCAGTTTTAAAAATTGTAGTGGGTGGTGATAAATTTTATATGGTGGGATTGGAGTGGGATACTTTCTGTGTTTGTCGTTCCTGAATGGCGCTCATGGTTTATTAGATTTTGAAGTCAAAAATATTGGTCTTTATCGAGCAATCATTTTTGTGACCAAATTCTTTCAGGAGATAATTTGATTAATACCTAACAAAGTTGTATCACGATGCTCATTAAATACACGTCCGTGGATAAATTGAGTAGTTAATTGACAAAATTTGTGATAAGACTGGTATAGAATTACCATTGTCTAATCGATTTTTTAATCACTTTTAAGCTCAAAAAGCGTGTGATCGGGGACGTTCTTGAATTTGTCATATTTGACGATAATTTTAATGCAGATTGACAATGTCATTTTTTTTCTATTTTTGTATTGTTGACATTTTACTTCATTATTAGAATTTTATTGTACTTTAGTTTGACAAATTTGATTTGGCATTGTGATCAAATATTTGATCTAAATCTTATTTATATTACAAAGGCAAAAGTTTGGATGTTTGTTAATTCTTCGCGCAAAAACTACTCGAGGGAATTTGATTGGATTTGGTGTGCATATAATTTTAAGGCTGGATGAACACATAGGCTACTTTTTATCCCACTAAATAGTTCCCTAATTTATAATATTCTTTGGACAAATTATTACCTACACATAACTACATTCAATAATTCTTATGATTTAATTTTGTTAACGTTTTTGATGGAAATTACATTTTTTGAATTTGATAGCATAATTACTATAGAATTAACTGTATCCTTTTATTTTCTAGCCGAAAGCGAAAAAGCCTGAGGACGAAACGCCGAAAGACCAGGCTGCTCCTCGCACAGCAGAGGAGATCCTGGCGGAGGGTGGATGCAAGTTCCCTGATGGACCACTTCCTAATGGCAAGGAAGTCCATCCCTCTATACATTCACACGGCGAACAGAGATGCGTTACATGCAGATGCAAGGTAAAACGTGTTTTTGAATATTAATATCTGATAGGCACTATACTGTAGAGAAATATTTAAAAAAATAAGTTGCTCGATGGTGTAGTGGATATTCGCCACGGTCAACGATCGTTGTTGTTAAGCAAGTTTCGCAAGGGTCAATTAGGGGATGGGTGATCAAACAATCATTATATCGAACTACTCCGTGCTTCGGAAGGCACGTTGAGCTGTTGGTGCGGGCTGCATTTGCAGTCGTTAATACTTATTATCGAGAGAACTAACAAAAAATATTCAGATAGGTTAGCCTCCATATGTTGCAAATTTCATAGTTGTTGGTAATTTTCTCTATTAGGACGGGGAACTAACATGCGTCCGTAAACGCTGCAATCGTGCGACGTGCGCGCGTCGACGGCGCGGCGACGCATGTTGCTCTTGCGCACGGACACGTCGCCAGCGCGCGCCCCCGCGCCCCAGCTGAGCGCGCCGGGCCCCGCGCCTCAGGGCATCGACCCCGGGCCCCGCGCCTCAGGGCCTCGTCCCCGGGCCCCGCGCCTCACCCAGACTGCGTAGGAATAAGTGAGTGGACGCTTCGCTCTACAGACTGATATATTGTTATGTACTCGTGCGATTCGAATACGCGTTTTAGAACGCGTCCTATATTGTATGTGGACGTGCGTTGTGTCATTAATTTCTGTTAAAGAGTTGAAATTGTTCGCGTAGGGTTAGTAAGTTTCGCAGATCGAGACGTGAGAAGGTATTTAGCTTTAATGATGATGGTCTTTCGCTGTAAACTTGTGACATCACGCATGTCCACTGAGGATACCCTGTATCTTCGTAGCTACGGTGCAACTGAACTGTTCCATTAGTGAAGTAGGTTTTTATCATCTCATTTATTTAATGGTTATTTATTTTTGTAATCACTTAATACGTATCCAGTGTTACTTTTACAAATTCGGTTTATTTTGCGTCCTATCCTAAGGTTCGAGCAGTTCAGTGGCAACGCGCTCATTGCGACTTATGACATAGATGGTGTTCGGCGGTCGACCGCGCTTCGGCTCGGCGTCGATCGACTGTAGGTTATTTATGAAACTCTCTATTCACTAGTCGATGATAAAAGAACATAAAAAATTAAATCTGTAGATATAATATTATCAATTATACAATTCTATTAGATTCGATGCTGGGGATCATTTAAAATGAAAATTTGTGTATGCTAATCGGATCCAAATCACATGTAACTGTCAAATTTTTGTATTTGTATATTACAGCGCCATCTATCTTCGTTTTGATCTAAGGTTTCGAATTCAAGAAGGTTTGACCGTTGCTTCATTTTAATTTATATCGTCAATTTCATATATTATTGTAGCGTTTGAAGATAAAATCATTAAACAATAGTTTGTATAAAAAAAATATGAAAAATAATAACAATATTGTCGACTAGTGAACCGGAAAGTTTTACTCGGAGTTGAATATTTACTTACCCACCGGTATTTTAATTGGTATTATGGGACGTCCCAAATTTTTATAGGCGCATAATATTTCCGATGTTGTACGAGTGAGTCGTACGCTGTGTTGTACGAGCGAGTCGAAATCTTGATCGCTGTGTTGAACGCGAGCGCGGTCGATATAGATGTGCCATATTTTCTTAATGTAAATATAAATTATTGTACCTTTAATATTACTTATGTGCATATTTATTATACTTTTCTTTTCTTAATTAACGATACGGGAAATAGGTATTCGAACCATCACAAACTCGTATATGATCGCCTTGTTTGTGCATTTGCTTTTAGTTTGTACAATTGTGTATTTATATCACAACCATTAGTTACGGAATTTGTTATTGCATGTTAGTAACCTATCTCTTGTTGCGTATTCGTCTTTATATTGTATAATAGAAGCAGCTTCAAGTAAATTGTCATATATACAAAACACAATAATCTATGTTTCTTTTAAGCGCTAATTTTATATAACGAAGATTTTGAAGCTAAAAATCGAGATTTGACTAATATTTTTATCATTATTACGATTTTTTGAAAGTTGTTTAAATATTATACTTATACATTTCTGTCCCGATTGCAAGATAAAATTGTAATAGATTGCGAACCGAGCAAATGTTAAAGCTTAGTATTAATTTAAGAACAGCGCCATCTACCTATACAAACGGAACAAGGTGTCTAATACTAAACATAATACGTTTGTAATCATTACGAATTGGAGTCGCATTCGATTGTTTTCCTTGCTTAGGGCTCTTCTTAGATAACATCGTACATTTATTTATCAGAGAAAAACTGTAAATACTACTTAATAATTGCTATGGTTTTAAATATCTTTAACATTGTATACAATTTTATATTGATAACAATACAAAATGTACCGATTAAAAAAATATTAGATTAAGTTTATAATAGTTTGTATGAAATTTCGCGACTAGTTTTGTTTAATTACTAGGTTAATTATTAGTTGCGTAATTAAGGAAGCTAGTCCAAATATGTTTTGATGTGATGGAGGTGAATGCCATGTAGGTACATAGAATATGTTCTATCTTAGTGAAATACCCCGGATATAACAACATTTAAGACTCTGTATCAAAAATATACGATAACAGTTATTTGGTCTTTATAATTATTCTAAATAGAGGTCTAGGCTAGCTCTGTAACGCGTTGCTATTGTAATAGTTGAAGCGAGATAGATGTGCACTCTTATAACGGTGTTTCGCTTTAATAAAAAATATAACAACTCTTTTAAAAGATCACGACAAGGCCTATGTAAATTTTGAAACATAACTTCATAGGGGTAACTGTAATATTTTCAAAAAGATTGTAAAAAAACTATGTTTTAAATTTATTATTTCGTTGTGGGTTCTAGTCCATCAAAATTGTGAGGGAAACGTATGATACACTATTGTATTGGCTACATGTTAAAAGTTTTTTTGACATTATGAGAATATCACTCGACTAAGGGAGTTATCTTGATTTTTTTCTTTATTCTAACAATAGAAAAGTAGTCACCTATGGCTTGCAAATAACATAACTAATAGCCATAAAGGATACTATGATATCGCTTTTTGCATTGTTTTCTTTTTAATAATTATTAGTATAAATTTCCCTGCTACATAGTTTCGAGAAATAAATATTATTGTTAGAACGATATAAAAATATCAATTGTCTTATTACATATCAGCAGTTTTGGTATAAAATGCCTAATGGTTATTATGTGCAGAATACTTTGTAAAACTTCATACAGTTTTATATATGAAATAAATTACCTGTGAACAGATATGGAATTTTATTTATTTTGCAGCGTCATTTTCATATATTTACACTATTGATATTATAAAGAGATAAAGCTTTAACTTTGTTTATTTGTTTGTAGTAGGTAATCTCCGGAATTACTGGTCCGATCATGTAAGTTCATTTACGGAAAACTACATCATACACTGTAGGTTAAAATACACGCAAGCTAAGGAGCGGAAAACACCTAGTTAAGTATTAAAAGAGAAATAATATTTTTATTTGTTAAAAGCATAGAAGTAAAACAAGATATCACAAATTATCGATTTAAGCTTTATTGCCGAAATAATAATGGCTCAATTGCAATGGCTGATTACTTTACATATGGAGTGTAGGCTATTTATGTGGGTTTCTTTTAATGGTCGATAAATCATTGACCGATCAATGAGAATGAGCTATGTAGTTTAAAATCAATAGAAAAATTATAATCTTGTTATTCAGTAATAACACTAGTATAAATATATAAATATATTCAAACCGAAGGCACTCGTATATCTTGAAGTATATTTTTTTCTATTTTTTATAAAATATTTTGTAATTCAAATTTATACAATTCTAGAGTGAAGATTTTGTTAAAGCTCTTAAGGTGTCCGACATCGCATCAACGACTGCGTCTGCTACTTTGAATGAAGAGTTATAACCCATGATGCCGATGCGAAGTGCTTTCCCCACAGTGGGTCCAAGCCCAGCGAAGATAAGAATGTTATGCCTGAAACAATTACAAAAAGAAAGCTTCGTGAAAAATGACAGTTATTAGCACATATAGTAAAAAAAAATACATTTTCTCTTTTGAGAATGAACGATTCCCTTTCTTCTTAAATACAAATATACAGTAATTATGTATTATTGAATAAATAAGTAACACCGTTTCTAATTATAAATAAAAAAAAAATATTTTCTAACTTTGATCACTATTAATTTACTCTTTGCTCACTACTTTGTGAATGACATTTGACGTTTATAAAAAACTGTTTAGTATTTTAGTTAAGTTTTTTTTACTAAAGAATCCCTTGGATCCTCTGAATAAGTATAATTCACTTATCAAAGCTTGGCTCACATGTTTTTGCTTTTATTAAAGACCAATAAGAGATATACCAAGGAAACTCTTTGGTAAAATGGTCTATACATCTGCCAGTGCTGCAATCTGACGGCAGAAAATTGTAGTAACACGTTCTGTTGCTAACGAACTCGCACCGGTGACACGAACATAGACTCATATTTTTATTATTTCTTTGCACATATATATTTTTTAAATAAAATTATATCAAATATCACCTATTACAAGTTCTGCCAGAATACCAGCGGTGTTGCAGGAGGTGTTAACTGTTAACGACAGCTTTGCCAGCCTCTTTAGATAAGTGTTTTTTTTTTTTAATTTTAAGTTATGTTACTTATTGTTACTGTTGTTTTTGCTGTACTGTCTCGCCGTAGGTACTCCTGATTAACCGAACACATATCTACGTTAGCTTAGAAGTGTTTATGTTATCGTTGCTTTTTTCTATGTTACTTCCACTTTTTGTCTCATGTCATTATGTGATGGTCAATAAAAAATGCTTACTTACATTGAGTACAATATTAAACAGATCAGACATATTTATTTGCAGTGTTAGACTACAACATATTATTATAATTATCCACTTACTTTTCTCTCATGTATTTCACAAACTCCATGTAATCGTATCGTTTTGGTAGGACGACTGTAGTGACAGTATTAAGTCGGTCTTCTGGTTTAGGTATGAGTAACTTTACGGGTAGTTCTTCTAATCGTTTCAAGAAGTGATTAGTGACCGATGAATGACGTTCCCAGGATACAGGCAGAGTTTCCTTACACAGCTCTTGGAGACAGCTTCGGAGAGCCCATAGCAACGGCGTACTGAGCGTGTGGTGGTAACTGTTGATAATGTTTTTAGCGTGTGTCAAGTTTTTACAATTAACAAAATGCATATTTGTTACTTAACATTATTTAAATAAATTATTTAATTACTATAACAAAGAGCGTAATCTCGTTGTGTTTTTTGTTTTGGAAAAAATTACTTCTGTAAATTCTATTTTGAATAATAAGAACATATCATTCGCATCGACTAAAATACATTAAGTTAGAAAACTGAAATCCGCCAACATTAAATCATTACACAAGAAAATATTGACATCTGGAATAGTTAATTATATGCTACATTTACATAATAACGCATTAAGTTTCAGTGCAAAGTTTTTTATCGTATGTCTAGCTGTCTATCCTTTTTTGAAAATACTTTTTAGAATTTATAATCATAAGTATGATTCTATTGTTAAAACTAACCTTCTTTGTCCGTAACAGTTCCATTGCACAGCTAATAGTTTGATATCATAATAAAACGGTGGTTCATATTTCATTCTTTTAATTTTTTCCCTGAAAAAAAAAAAACCTTAAATTAGGCCAATGGTTTTTGAACAGGTATATTATTAATCTTATTGAATTCATTCGTATTTGAAGATTTACTACTAAATGGTAATGTGGGAAAATTATAACTTCATGGTGTACAATAATTATGGATCTATACATTAAATATGATGCTAGACAAAATGGCTGAATGAATTTGAATGAAATATAAATCTGATGTTATTAGCAATTTAGTGTATTAAGCAAATATTTTTACATTTTTGTTACGTTTGCAAAACTTTACTAGTATTTGATTCCACATAAAATAAGATAATATTAGTACAGATACATACAGACACGTGATGATAATATATTAGTAACCACTCAAACACGGCTATATGATATCCCAGTGGCTTAATTGGTGAACTTTAAAATCCATCACCATCTCTTTCAAAAGTTTAGTGATTGATGGAATTGTGTATCTCTTAAAGTCTTTTGGGACGAATGATGATTTGAATGATCAAGAGGCATAAACTTTAAGTAATATTTACTTATAACGCTTGCCGTTAAATTAGAGATATCGTTCATTGTCAATTTTTCAAAAAAATTTACGTTCGTTTTCGCTATTATAGGTGAAATAGTTGAAGCGTGAAGTTCGTGAATATCTTACAATTATCTAAATGAATAGAATTGTGATTGATTTTGAAATATGCCAAGTAGACAAGATCTGAATCTTGGGGGTAAAGTAACACTCGAGAATCTTAAAGAGTCTTGAATAGCAAATATAGTATATATTGCTAAATTTTCAAGCGAAAATTTTATCGTCCAATATTTTTGCTGTTCTGGGTCATTTCATTATCCAGCTCGCCTGCCCCTAGACCGGATTTGGTCACACTGCTTGTCAAAGTATAAATGCAGAGAGCAAGTAATATAACTACAATCAAGAATCATAAAGCCCTCACTCTGCTTTAGCGCTGAATGCTACTGGTGAAATACCAGGGGGTCCACTCAAAGCTTTTTGTGTAGACGTGTATACGCCATCGACTTCCCATTCATCCATGAGGAAGGGAACTGCTGCGATAGATACTACTGTATCTACTAGTAGCAATGCTCCATATCTGTAATTAATATATGTAATGTTAATATTTTGGCTATAATATCATATTTAGGTTTTCGTACACAAAGGGTAAAACGGGAACCCTTCTACTGAGACTTCGCTATCTGCCTCTCTGTCCATCTATCACCAGGCTGTCTTTCATGAACCGTGAAAGTTACACAGTTGAAATTTTCACAGATGATATATTTCTGTTGTCGTTACAACAATAAATATTAAAAATATAATGAACTAAATATTTAAAGGGGCTCCGATACCACAATCGTGTTTTTTTTTGCTGCTACGAGGCTATATCTCATGAACTATGATAATTAAAATAGTTGAGATTTTCACAGATTTCTTTCGCCGTTAAGTATAAAAAATATACTAAAAACAGAATCAAATAAATTAAGAGGGCTCCCATACAATAAACGTGTTTAACGTCGTTTTAGGCACGGAATAAATAGTGCGCGGTTTGACCGATCTTTATTACAAATGACGTTATTAGAGCTGGAGAGTTTCTTCTGCTCATTCTTCTTGTTAGCCAAATAACTTTCTGAGCTAGTGGTATATAATAAAATGTTAGATGATTCAAAAATACTTAAAGCTACTGTGAGATTGACTTTTGCAAAACAGTAAGAGATAAACGACATTAGAAAAATATTAAGCATTACAAAAATTTGTTAGGTTTGAATATTTATGTGGAATGAGGAATAAGCTGAGCTGGAATGGTTGATAACGTTTGACTTACGAAATAATTTATTTATTTCCGCTTTAATGTACAATTTAAAGTGTCTAAATGATGGATATAAAGCCATTAGGTAATCTACCAGTTAACAAAATATGTAGCAATGGATTTATTCATATATAATTTAATTGATTCTGGTGTAAATAAAGATATAATTTTATGACGTAGTTATTGCCGTAATCTAACGCTGTCGGTGGAACCGAGCATGTAATAAGCACCCGTGTACTTATTTTACTAAATCTCAATTCTGAAATTCCAAGAGAATGACATCTCTTAATTTATTGTGTGGTTATTTGATGTCCCTATGGTAGGGAGGCAAAACTTCCAAATGTATGGAATCAAATAGGGTCATAATAGAACGTTGTTGTTAAGCATCTTTCGCAAGGGTCGGTATCGGAATGAATGACAAAAAAATACTATCGCGAGCTACTCTGTGCTTTGGAAAGCACGAGACCAGAGAGGCAGACCATTGGTCTTGACTGCATTTGCAGTGTAACCCCCCAATCCTCTTTAACCATCCATAAGATTTTCACTTCGTTATGCACGTGACAGGGCTGATGATGATAATGGTAAAAAGCATAATAGAGTTCACGCACTTATGACAAAGTTTTCCAAGTCCTTCGATTTTCTGCACCGTACCGGTCGAAGAGTCTCCGTGTGTTATAAACAGCGCAGTCGGCCTTACTTTCTTCAGCATTCTCTCAAGGTGTTCCAAACTAAACGTTGCCGTAAAGGGAACTTTGGTAACCACAGTTTTGATACCTGAAACCACACAAGGAAACTGATTACTCTCCGTGCAATGCATTGGTTGACGACTATAAGGGACGTAATTCTCGATATATAAACCAAAGTAACCAATTGCTGTGTGAAGATCTCTCCCATACCTTTCCACTCTGAGCGGTCCGTTGCTTATTATACCCAGTTCTCCTTCCATTTTAATTTCGATTGGGTCATTATTATCTATTTTAATATAAACTTCATTTTGTTCTCATTTAAGTCAGTAAAACTTCAAAACTATTTAAATTAGAATAAAACAGACGGCAAAATAGTTCACAATCCAATGATGTTGATTTTTATCGTACAGATATAATATCAATATTATTTACCTGTTATTTTTTGTAAGTGCAAAATTTACTATCATAATTAGTTTACCTCGTCTCTTAGCAATCGACAAGGCTCTTTCTTCCCAAATGCCTCGACTGGCTAACAGTAACGTCTCATTTGGCGCAACCAAGTTGGTGATAATCGTCTCCATACCCAGATGCCCAGAGCCACTCACAGCCAGCACGGTCTTGCTTCGGGTTTGAAACATATATTGGATCCCTGAACGAATATCGTCTAGTACCTGCAATACCAATATGATTAGCTAAATGTTCCTAAATTATTTTAAGTCTTGTAGCTAAATCCTAAATGTTCTTAACCTTGTTTTATATTACTATTGGGGAGCATGTCGCAAGATAAATTTGGTCTATGTCCTAGGGATATATTGAAATCAATTTTAATGAAGAAAGCATCCACTTGGTTACTTGGTAATATGCATCGGATCAGTTATTGACTTTCAAATGTAGTAATGTATTAAAATCAAATAGATTGTATATAAAAACAGTAACAAGCTTTCTTATTTTTTCCGCAATAACTTGTGAATCATCCGATAACTCAACGATGAGGAACTTAACATTATTTTAGAAACATATCTAAATGTTGATATAAACATATGTTAATATGTTATTTATATTATGTCTTTCATTTAGGTGTTTAAATTTCACAAGAATATTTCTCACGTTAAACAATTCATCGCATATAGGCGTTAGTATAGGTTTGGACATAGCTTCCACCACTGAAGGCAATAGATCACTTGGACCAGGTCCACATAATAGCGGTTTCACAAAATGTCGGTCCGTAATGGTCGGTGCTGGCACTGTTAAATTTGGTGAAGTCATTGCGTCTGTAACAATAAAAAACAATTAAAATTATTTTTTAGTCTAAATATGAATTATTTATATCAAAATATGCATTATACATTTAGTAATAGATATTTAGTCTCAAGATTATGGCAATTTATTAGAATAATAATTTAATAACATTACACAATTTATATTTAAAGACCGCCTAGTGTACAACATCTATTGTATTGTTATATTTTTTGTATTTTTTTCTGTGCTATACAATAAAGTGTAATACACAAAATAAAGTGATGATGAAATTATATATAAATTATAAAACATTATTTAACCATTGCATTTCGTTAATGTGTGAGTTTGCTATTATAATTAAAGAATATTATGGACTGGGTAAGACCGGGCAAGATATTTGATGAAAACTAATGAAAATCGTAACGCATAACTACGCCTTAACTAACAGTGCCAAGGGTCGTGTGAATGCGGCCCCGTGACCGATTTTCGGAAACCCGTGAAGTTTGGTTACCGAATAAGGTTAATGTTTAGATTTAGTGCTAATAGGGTGGTTGTAAATTTACTACAATATTCTGGCGGCTGCAACGCTATCGGATGGCACATTTGGCAAGTATTCCACGCGCCAGAGGCGGGAACCGTTTGCCAGTTACTATGTATTTGTTCTGCTGTACTGGTGCAGTGATTGGTTTAATATCCAATACTCGAAATGGAGCTGAGTGGTGTTATTCTATAAAAGATCAGCGTCGAACTTATTGCAAAGAGGTTTCGTTTCAAATAAAACTAACTTCAAAAGGTAATAAACGACTATTTCATTGAATCTCTATGCTGTGTCAGCGCGGCGGCGATGTTGTTGTCGATGAAATGGGTGCAATAATCTATAATATATAAAGCTTAATTTCTATATATATAAAAATCAATCAATATGGATTGATTTCTATGGATCCCTTGGTCACGCTATCAATAAATACGTAAAAGTAATTAAAACGAAACAAAATAAATCAATTTTCTTAATTGTGTGGTAAATTTTAAAAATGTAGTACTTTTAACCACAAAATCATTAATTTTTTTTTTGGTTAAAAATTTATAATATTAAATTATTTCATATTTAACCCAAGTGCTATGGATACTATAAACTTTTTAATGTAACATTTTGGCGTTAAACATGAATTGATAGAATGCGTGCTGCAAATATCCTCAAATTGGATGTAAAATAAATGTTTTCAGTATTCTAATTAAGACAAGACAACGTCTGTCAAGTCAGTTTGTAATGAACGATAAGTTTCACAAATGTCCATTAAGATTTATTGAAGCCTTTAAGGTCTAATCAATGTCAAATTTCTATGGGTGATGCCATTTTAAACCAATGACGATTTTTATGGACGCTTGTGCAACTGGCTTTAAGACCGGTGTCTAAGTTAAAATAATGTTACTTTTATTTTCCAAAATAAATGGGTTCGATTGTCGAACAGAGAACTAGCTTTTAAAGAAGACGGCCGGCGCAGTTCTAATCGCCCCACAAATAAAAGCGTCACGATCTAATTAGGATATCTCTAAATATTTTGTTCAATAATAAGAATAAATATAATTTGTTGCTATAACCAGTAGCATTTTGAAGTCGCACTATTTTATAATAAATTCAGTTACCTTTGTTTTTACTATATACAATTCTTCAGAAAACGATTAAATGTTTATAATTATTTTTTTTAAATGTAATACGACTTTTAAGACAATCCACTTACCTATTACTTATATACAGTAACTATAATAGTAATAGTCGTTTCCCTAATATTAATCTTTTTTTGTCCATAAAACGGTGGTGTTCGAAATACCAATATCTATCCGAGATTTAAAAAAATTTAAAGATGTGAGAGAAATAATGTAACACTGTAACCTTTTCGCACTAACAAACTAAATTCAAGAAACAATTTTCTTGTTTATGAATTGATACACGCACTGTATTATTTTATTGAATTAACATGATTTTGAGTGAGTACTTTTATTAATACAATGTCAAAATTCCAGAATGAAGAACTTTTTTATTCTAGTATTTGGCCACAACTTTATGCTTGGCGTTGAATGCGATTGTAAAACGACATTTGAGGCTCCAGTATTTTCCTGTTTTAAATACACCCATCGAAACTACTTACCCCTGGGACTTGGTTCCCCTATTATTTTTATATTCAGGTATCTAGCTATTAACCAGATTACTATAAACCAGATTATACCAGCTAAAAATAATACTCGTAATAACAACATTTTGTTTCACAGATTGTTGCACAGTGTAACACAGAATTGTTAACAAGAACATTATTAAAAACTATTGTTAGCTAGTGAGCTGTACCACAGGGGCGAAAAAGTATTCATTTCGAAATTCAAAACATTTTTATTGCTTACTAGCTGTGCCCGCAACTTCGTCTGCGTGGTAAGTATTTTGGTAGAATTCTTTTATTTCTATGAATGGAGTCGAATCGAAAAAAATCAATGGGCCATAACCCACTATGCGGACTCAATGCGGATCGGTGGGTGTTAACGTTGCTGATGCCGCCAGGACTAACAGCTTAACGTGCATTGTGCCAGTGTTGTGCACAGTGCTCAAGATAATAAAGTTTTGGTCACCCATCCTGTTCTTACGAATGTAATCTTTTTTCTCGTTTCTCGCACTCTGGTTGTCGTTTGTGTCTGAGAATTTTATTCGTACCTTGAAACTGTCCTTTTGTCTTTGATCTTTTTTAATAATAATTATTTGTCCAGTTGTATGCACAATCGGCTATTTATTGTCCTATTTTCCATGTAATGTTAGGTTGCCTGGAAGAAATCGCTTGCTAGCGATTTATCGTTTATCGTTTGTACTTAATTATGTAAAATTAGAATTCATGTATGTCCTTGCTGTGCAGTATTTTACTTATTTATTTTACTGCAATTAAAACCGAATACGCTAATCCACTACGCCATCCGACCTCTTATACCTAAGCTATACTAATATTATAAAGAGGAAAGATTTGGTTGTTTGTTTGTTTGCATCGAAAATTCAGAGCGATTCTACCTACGGGAAGCTACATCACGGGTGTCATAGGCTATAATTTTGCGGCAAAGTCGCGGGGAAACAGCTAGATCATTATACCTTGTGAAAACTTATCTGCGGTACGCCTGTGGAGTATGATGGCAACACGGGTTGGCGATAATCGAAACTACTTTCTCGATCTCTATTGTGCAAACTGCAAGTTCTTTCAGAGACCAAGCGCATTTCTCTTTCAAAGGAAGTTTCATACTCATACCATACTGCATGTATGTTACGATCATACTGTTAGATGCGCTATGTGATCTTCAGAAGTTTCCTGAGAACGCTTGTTGTATGAGTTCTCCGAGAGCTCAAGAGATTGTCCCTGACGTTAAATGCTTCAGATTTAAGTCTATAGTGCATGAGCCTGGCGATGGGTAGTTAAATACGCTTCGCGTTTTTTAGGTGTCTCCCGAGACCGAGCGCTTTCCGTCCGATGTCTTTATTTGTCGGTCGGTACATGTCTGACGGAAGATACGTTGAGTTTTATTTATTGATATAAAAAATTATATACATATTTTAATATCGACTTTCCAGACTCGAAGGAAATCGTCTACTAACACATACTTGCGAGAGGTGCTTAACTGAGCTTCCGTCGGATTTGAACGGCCCTCATCATCATCATCAACCCTTTTATGTCACCAACTGCAGGAGCTTTATGGATTAAGGAGGATGGGCCACAACTCTCCATGCTGGCCCAATGCGAATTGGAGGATATTAACGACTGCAAATACAACGGACCCATCGCTTTACGTGCCTTCCAAAGCTTGGAGTTGTTTAAGAAAATATTTGTTTGTTTACCCATCCTGTGATCGACCTTTGCAAAAGTTGCTTAACAACTACAATCGCGAGCCATGGCGTTTATTCACTACGCCACCGAGCTACTCTGAAGCGATCCTCAGACTCGCGCTATATTATATGTGTTGTGACCAATTAATCAACCATTTTTTCCAGCGAAGACTGAATATACCAACTTTGAAGTACGTATCTACAGCAAATTTGTATGTTGAATAAAATCAAAAAATGTTTTAACATAAAAAATAGTAATAAGAAAAAAAAACTTCAGTTGACGTGAATCTAACTTTTTTAACGTCGTGTGAAAGCTTCTGACATTGTCTCTGCTACGTGGCAAGCAACAGGGGGTGAGTAGGATTTTCCTCCGTGAACCCGATAGTGAACTGCCCAGTGTGTCCCCAGAGGCCTACCCACCAAAATTCGTATGCTTAACCGTCTCATGGGAGATGAAACCCGGCAACCTATGGACGCGTCACCAAAACACTCATGGGTGATTCCATAAAAGTTGGGTAAATTTCTAAATTTTTTTTCCATCAGTGTTATTTTATACTAATTTAATAACTTTTTAGTAAATATGGTTCTTTTAATAGTTTACATTTTGTATCCAGACAGGCCGGTCACTTTACTTAGTACTTATAGAGAAAATTGAGTTTTTTTGATATCGGTTTTCTAGGGACTGACTGGCTGTGCTAGGGAATGATGCCTTTCATTGTTAGTATAAATAAAATTACATTTTCATCGTACATAATCAATATTTATTAAGTAATTCTTGCAATTATATTACTAATTGACACATTTATAGCAAAATCTAATCAAATTAAAGACAAAACTAACTTTAGATAAGTATCTTGGATACTACTCTCTTACCAACAAGAATAACAAAACTAGTAATACTTTTCATTACTTACTTGAGATCACACAACTAAACATATTTCGTACTTTTACATAATATATAATTATAAAACATAACATTATGTAATGTAACAATAAACAAAAATAGCTTCTTCTTAATTATAATTGTACTTTAAGAACACAAATTTGCAGTCTTATAATTTTATCATAAAATACGTAGTCTTACTTCTCAAATACATTAACTGGCTTGTTAAATCTATAAATTGTTGTGTTTCTTTTATTCACTAATTTAGGAACTGGCCGTTTTTCTATCACATCTTCGTAAGGTACGTCAGCGATATCATTGTCATTAAGTTTAAATTCAGTCCCATGGTCGTTGCTAACTTTTAGAAATGCAACTGTCAACTCACCATCCACTTCATCATATTTCGAGCAAATCGCAGCATA